CCCCCCGCCTCCCCCTGCTCCCTGCTTCGACGGTCTCCCTTGATGGCTGCCTCTTCCTCTGACGCCGCCCCACACCTGCGCCCTGCCCAGCTCTTCCGCGAGCTCGAGAAGAACCCCCGGATTGTGGTGCACACGAACCCGGAGTCCGAGGGCCTGATCCGTGCTCGGGTCCAGGGCGCCAACCTGGCCGCCGATGGTGCGCCCTGCGGCCTCTGCGCCACCGGCCCCGGCCTGCCTTCTCGCCTGGCCCGCTCGGTCTCGCCCCTCCCCCTCCCTTTCCCTCTCGACTGACCGGGCCCCACTGGCCAACTTGCCCTCCTGCCCTGTGTGCCCACTGGTGTGGGGCTGGCGTGCGCACTCGCAGAGTCCGAGATCCTGGTCTTTTTGGACAGCCACTGCGAGGCCGGCTTCCGCTGGCTGGAGACCCTCATCGAGCCAATCATGACCGATCCCACCATGGTCACCATCCCGGCCATCGACCTGATCAATGACATTACCCTGGACTTCAAGGCATCTGGCGGCCCCTTCCGCGGGGGCTTCACCAACCGCCTGGACTACACTTGGATCGGCCTGACCCCGGCCCAGGAGAAGCGCGATCGCGAGCAGCCTGGCGGCCACCACCTGATCCTGACGCCGGCCATGCCGGGCGGCCTGTTTGCCATCCACCGTGACTTCTGGAACCACATCGGCACCTATGACACCGACATGCATGTTTGGGGTGTGCGTACCGCCGGCATACACGTCGCCGCATATCGCCGCACATACACACACACACACACACACACACACACACACACCGCCTTGCGTCCTCTTTGTCGTACATCTGCTGACATCTGTGTTTGTCCTTATGCTCGATTGCCACAGGGCGAGAACATCGAAATGTCCCTGCGCATCTGGCAGTGCGGCGGCCGGATGGCCTTCGTCCCGTGCTCGCGCGTGGGCCATATGTTCCGTACCTCCTTCAAGCAGTTCAAGGAAAACTTCCCGTACGCCTTCCCGGATGGCGCCAGCAAGACGGTCGGTCGGAACAAGGCCCGCGCGGCCGAAGTGTGGATTGACTCGCCCGATGCCAAGGCCATTGCCTACCAGCATATGTTCGGCCGCCGGGACGGCACTGTCCCCCCGCACATCGAGGTGGGCGACCTGACCGAGCGCTTCGAGCTTCGCCGGCGGCTCAACTGCCGGTCATACGATTGGTACGCGCGGAACATCTACCCCGACCATCCGCTCACGGAATAGGCCTGTCTGTCCAGCTGGCGGGGACTCGGGCGCGCTGTCGGGGGCCCCGCCACCCGCGTGCTTGTCCTCCCCCCTCCCCCCCCCCCTCTCTGCCTCCGGTGTCATGAATGTGTGCAAGCGTGCGCGCGTTTGCATCCTCCCCCCCCCCCCCTGTCTTCCCCTCCCTCCTCTGCCCTCCTTCACATTCGTCCTTTCGCGCTTGCGCGCGTACGCACGCACACATTCACGCGCGCACCATACACACATGTGCGAGGTGCTCTCGCATACCCGTCTTCCTTTCCCCCTCCGTGGGGAAAGGCCCCAAGGTGGCGAGCCGGCCTGGCCATGTGTGCAGGGCAGGGCCATCGGGCACACTCTCTCCTATTCCTCCCACAATAAAGATGTCTGCCGATTGCACCCAAGGACAGTGCTGCCCTGGGGACAAGGGAGAGCTGAGGGAGAGAGAGGGAGGGAGACAACCAGGAAACAGTCACAGCCTTCGCGGAGTGCCCTGTGCCCCCCGCTGGCGGAGGCACATTAGCAAGCGCGAGATGTCCAGACCAAGAGAGAGAGAGAGAGGGGGGGGGGCACGAGCAGGGGGATGGAAGGAAGGGGCCCGGGTGGGGGCGCCCGAGAATGGGTTTATTTTGTTTTCTATGCGGCATCCTTTTCTGTGCCACTATATAGACCAGCGGCGGTGTGTCGTCACTGCTCCACGGCAGCAGCGGCGACTGGCTCCTCCGTGGAGGCAGCAGCGGCGACTGGCTCCTCCGTGGAGACAGCAGCGGCGGCCGACTCGTCAGTTGAGACACCGGTGCTGGTGCCAGCAACAGGGTTGCTGCTGATGCCCCAGTAGGTGCTGCTCCCGGTGACCTGGCGCGCGCGCTTGCGCAGCTGATTCACCTCGGACAGAAGAAGCTGCAGCCCGGCCAGGGGCTCCGGCGCATCGGAATCCGGGTCGGTGAGGATGCGAATGCCGGTCAGCAGGAAGCCGGACGCCGCGCCGGGCATATTCATGAAGGGGTGCGAGCGCCCGGGGAGGACCTGGTACTCGCGCGTCCAGGTGTCATGGATTTGGAGGTTGATGGCCCGGGGGAGGGGGCTGGTGGTGGAGGCGTCCGCCGGCATGGCGTCGTCCTCGGCGTCGTCCGGCTCGTCCCCGGCATAGGGAGTCGGCCGCCCGTCGAGGGCCATCTGCTGGCTGCGCAGGGCCGCCATCGTCGGGGCCAGGGCCGAGGAGGAGCGCGAGAAAATGGCAAACGGCCGCGAGGGGGCCAGAAGCGGCACCAACAGCCGCACGGCCTCCATCGGGCACACCCGGGCCGCCACAATCAGCGAGTCAAAGTTGCCGCGCATGAGCTCATCGCGCGCGGCCGCCCGGCAGAGCTGGCGCTTGCGCCGGCGCTCGGCCAGGTTCTTGCGCCCGGCCACCGCGGCGGCCGGCATCGCGGAATCCTCCACCTCGGCGCCGGCCCCCGGAGCTGGGGCCCCCTCGGAAATGATATCCTCCGAGCTGAGGGACAGGTGGTACCAGGTCGACCGGAGGAGGGTCCGGTCCAGCTGGTCGGCCGGCATGTTCAGGGTGCTGACCACCTCGAAGCCGGGCTCCTCGAACTGGGTCGACAGGCCCACCACAAGCCCGGAGTCTGTGCCGACGTGTTCCCCGGGTCACACGAGGGCCGGGGGATGGAGCGGGAAGAGGTGCCAAATCCGAAAGGTGGTCAGTCACAGGCCCGGAGGAACAGGGTGGTGGCAGGAGCAGGGCCGGCGTAAGGCAAGGAACGGGGGGGGAGGGGGGGGGGGGGGGGATTGGCGCACCGCCAACACGGCTAAGGGCCGCAGCAGTCACCAGGCCGCCGCAGTCATCGAGGACAACCACCCGCGCGCCAGGCTGCACATTGGCATAGGACAGCATCTGGGAGAGGGTATCCGGGCGAATGTTCCTGCGGCAGGGGCGACGGCGGCAGCGGCGGCGGCGACAGCACCAGGAGAGACGAGTCAAAGAGTGTCAATGGCAGCCGCGCGCCGGGGCCCGAGAGAAGGGAGGAGGCAAAGACGCACATGATGCGGGACGGATGCCGGGTGTAGTAATGCTCGGCCACATTCATCAGACTGGTCTTGAGGATCTGAATGGTACGCAGGTGGCTGGCGTAGGGCGCCGGCGGGTGGAGGAGAGCCGCAAGCGGGGCAGCATGCGAGTGGGTGGGCAGCTGGGCGTCAGTTTTCGGGTGGGCTGGTCCCTGGCAGGCGGGGGGCCTGTCCGAAGCAGGCGACGCACCGCTCCTGCTTGCGCTTGATGTATTTGGCCTGGGAGAACTCGGTCTTCTCGGCGAAGGTCTTGCTGCCGGCGATGATGGCGTCGATGAGCTCCTACATATGTGTGTGTGTGTGTGTGTGTGTGCACATGCATTCACATGGAGACACGCAGGGAAAGGTAACGCGACCGGACAGTGGGGATTGAGCGGTGAGACAGATAGCCCGGGGACGACTAGGCGGCGAGGACCGAAGGGGGGTCGGGCGGCAAAAAGGAAAGAAGCCAAAAGGACGAGGAGGAAGGACGAGGAGGAAGGACGAGCACCACACGTACGGCACCGGACACACCCTCGCCCTTGAGCTTGAGGATATCATCCTGGGTCAGGTCCTGCGAGGTGTTGGTGTCGATGAGGTTCCGGTTGTCAGCGGAGGCTGGACAGTCCGGCGGTGGCCATGTGCGTGCGTGCGTGCGTGCGTGCGTGCGCACATTCATGCACAATCATCCATACAGGCGCATGGGCGTCAGTGTCATCGGCAGAAGCACCAGAGGAGGAGAGGGCATTGTGGATGCCGGGTGGCGAAAGAGCGAGGGGCTTGGACGCACTGCGACCATCGGCGGCTTCGATGGCCAGACCGGCCTGCACCGAGTGCAGATCCGCCCGGTCGACCTCCTCCGTGGCCAGCGGGACCAGACGCCCGGCCCCGGTGCCAATGCGCTCGTAGGTCCAGCCGAAGTTCAGCCCCACCAGCTGGTAAAGGTCCAGCGAGCCGAAGCGGCCGAGGTTCAGCACATGGCTCGGGCCGCCGGTGATGGACTTCTTCGGGACCGAGTCCAGCCGGGACACCTCGTCCGGGTGCAGGGGAAGGCGGACCACGCGCTCGGAGCCGTTGCTCAAGCGCAGGAGGACATACTCACCGTGCTGGGCCTGGTGCGCGGTGGGAGGGGCCGGCGGCGGCGGCGGCGTGCCGGCGGCGGCGGCGGCGGCGGCGGCGACAGCACTTGACATGTTGGCCGAGTAAGGGAGAGCGAAGATGGGGGAGGGGGGGAGGGGCAGGGAGGGGCAGGGAGGAGAGGAGGCGGGGCGCTTAGATGGGGGAGGATGGCACTGCCAGTGACGCAGGGGGGGTCCCCTGCCGGCATTGCCGCTCTTTTGGCTGTGCCCTTGCCCTGCCCCGTGCGCGGGCGTCTGCATGCGCACGCCCTCGCCCTGGCACTTTGCGCCCGACAGATCGGCCAGCACCCGCGGGCGG